CATCTCCTATACAAAAAACCCCTCAAAAAAAAAAAAAAAAAAAAAAAAGAAAAAGAATGAAATCTCAGTTTATCATGGAGCAAATGTTGTCACCGTGACAAGGACAGTCACAGCCTCACAGTGCTATTATCTCCAAGGAGCCCTAAAGTACTCAAAAACCTAAAGTGAATGTCATCTTGATATAAAAAATGACCTCGTCTTCAAAAAGAATTCTGAGGTGCAATTATTTTATTTATTTGTTTATTTTTTAGATTTCTGTCACAGGGTGTGTGTCTTCACCTGGAAGAGAGACAGTGAGAGGGAAAGTGAGAAACCACCTTGGGGGGTGGTCACACCCTTCTCCTCCATTCTCCTTTAGGAATTTTAGGCATGCATGCACACATGCCTGGTGTGTTTTCCAAGCTGCCAGGTCCAGGACTCAAACCACAGAGCTGGCAGATGGGGTCCAATGCCTTAATCACCACACCACTTACTGGCCCAGGCCCCACTGTTTTTCATTTTTGGTTTTTGCCGTAGGGTGCTTGTGCTTGCTGGGGACAGGAAGAGGGAGGGAGACAGAGAGTGAGTGAGTGTGAGAGGGAGAGAGAGATGGAGGGAGGGAAACTGAGCAATCACCCCCCAGGGCAGAGGGCCACACCAATTCCCTCTGCATTATCCCCTGAGATTTTGAGCATGCTTGCACATGCGCTTGGTGTGATTTTTAAGCCGCTGGGCCCAGGACTCAAACTGCGGTCGGCCACGTGGGAGCTCAGCGCATTAACCACCTGCTGGCCTCCGCAACCTCATTCTTATACACTAACATGAAGCTGGTTTTGGAGTGGCCACACATAGCCCAACAGGCAGGAGGAGTGATAGGCAGAGTTCACCAAGCCAGTCTATAAGCTACGAGGCGACCTCACAGTCTGAGGGTAACTGCAATTAAAGTGTAAGTTTATTTTGGCACAAATGTCTTAAATCCATGCACAGTTTTTTCATAATACATTTTCCATGAGCTTCCTGAGGACTTCTTGTACATGACATTTCTATATTTATAAAAATGTGTCGAATGGAAAATAATCTACAAATATTCAAGTTTTGATTTAGTGCTTACGAATAGTAATGCAGGGTTATAGGTATTTTCCAGCATTTTGTTTTTTAAATGATTTAAACTGAAAATAGCACAGGTAGTTTTCCCGTGAACTGGTAACAGTGAAGGAGCTGAGCCGTGTAGCTGCACCGAAGCGGGCTTAGTAAGTGACTACCTCTGTTCTGAAAGCAGAGGTGAGCTTGACAAGCACGGCACCCCAACATCAGTGAGCGGGGGACTTTCTTGAGCCTACCAAACAAAACTGCTAGCAGCTGACAGGCCGCTGGAGGTGGGCACTCCAGCAATGGCCAAATAAGGAGATCATTAACCCGATGCTAACGTGGACAGCTCTGACCAAGACAGCCACATCTATGCTCTGGAAATCAACCAAC